CCCCTCTGTTGGATTGTTGGCAAGAAGGAACCGAGAGGGCATAGGGCCGGCAGCGCCTGATATACCAGCGCATGAGTGCGGCACTCAAGGGGGCAACACAGCCGGCCCTACGGATACCGCTAAGGCAAAGATCTCTGATGAATGGAATGGACATGAGCAACACATCTCAAACAGCCACAGTTACGAAAGGTGGGTAACCGTGTTGTTTATTGAGTTGCGATTTTTTACTTTTATAAATATTTTATATATAAGAAGAGTAAACAACACATGTAGGGGTTCTTTTACACTCCACTATGGGTGTTTTAAAAAAAAAACAAAAAAAAAAACCCTCAACTATTTGACCTTTACATGCACTCTTAGTAGATTTAAAGTTTTGAACATTTCTTTGATTTCCAACTGTTTATCTGAAATGTAAAAACTGAAATGCTGTAATACTACACCATTTTAAAAATAGCTTTGCAAAGCTTGTCAGATGTTTGCCAAGACACACAGTATTAGCCTGTGAATAAAGAATTACCAGCATAAACCAGAAGAGGGCTCTCAAAGCTAGCAATTCTTTGCATTGTTCCTGATTTCAGTAAATGTTTTGTTTTAGATATCCTTGTTTCTAAATCCCTTTTTGGCCTCTAATGACAAATTTTAGAATGGACAAGGTATTTTAAAATACTCTCTCTAAAGGTGGCTGTCACAGTAGATTTCATCAGATTCATCACAAGTGCAATATAAATACGTAGATAGACCTATAGTTGGTGGGAGTCCCCTAGGTAAGTCATGGACACCCCCCCTTCCCCCCCAGTCAATAATAGGTCTGTGCTAGGAGTCCCAGAATGTCCCAGTGGTTAGCTTATTTCAATCAATTAGTGAAGGTCACTGCTACAGCTGTGATGATGGTGTAGTTTCTTTCTATTTTACCTCCCAGATTTTTCCTGAAAAGTTGATGATAATTTTCTGTCTAGTGCGGTCTGTCTCTTCTCTAATGTATATATTTTTTTTAAACTAAAAGTGTTTTTAGTGATTGGCAGCCAAAGACTTAGCTAGGGGACTCCTGCTGGTCATGTGCATGTAGAGCACGGACCCAAGAGTGTGGCTTCTCTGTGATTGTACACCACCAGAGAACAAGCGTTACAGGTAATTTTTCTTTGTGTGCAGTGCAGAATGGTCATTTTTTTTTCCCCTTTAAAAAAAATTCTTGATATGCTTTCAGACGATTAGTTATCACACTGGATGAAAGTGGAGTGGATTTTTTTTTTGTATTACCTGAATTACAGGGAGAGTGTTTACACTAAAACTGTTGTTGCCATAATAGGGCTTTTGCTTTTTTTTTTCTGCTTTTTACTTTCTTCCCTCCTTGCCCCCAAACTGTTCCTGATCCTTTCACCATAGTGGAGTGAATGAAATTCAGAATGCTCCTGAAACAGCAGCTCCTAGTTCAGATTAGCACACAGCACAATTTTTAAAAACATTGCATTTATTTACTTTGTACTTTTTGACTCTGCAAATATTACTTATATATGAAAAATAATTGATATGAGATGTACTTAAGTAATATTTTGGCAAGCTGAAGCCCTAATACACCTAGTACAGAATAAGAAGCAGAGGAACTCTCTAAAGGAAATAGAAACGTACTTTGTGAGGAGACACTGTACCTTACAATATCACTACTATTATGTGCGTTCCATCAATGACTGAAGCCAGTTGCCTTTTGTTAAAGACCAAATGCAACTTCTATTAGCTGTGCTTACTTCATCAGTCGTCTTCATTAAAGTGCTGAATATAATTAGTGGGAGTAATTAAATAGCAAAAACTTTGCTAATGGGGATTTAAGGTTGCTCAGTGATAGCCTGTGCCTTTCAGAACGTTAGA